GCATTGCTTGTCTTGAAATAATTTTAACAATGTATCTATCACTAAACGGAGCCTGAGAGGACTGGTAATAGCACAGTGCATCGTGAGTCATTTAAGCGAAGCCCAGTCCACCAGCCACACACGCGGTAAAACACATTTTGTGTCTCAGTGGTGAACGTCACATGACGTTTTTAATCAGCTGGATAGAAAAATGCGTTTTTCTTTCGGAATACCGACATTACAGAACGGAAAGCCACCCAACCTCAACGAGGATTTGCCAACACATAGACTGTTTAAAACTATAGTTACCAGTCCCCAACAAACTCCGTTCTTACAAAAGCATTCACAAAAACATTAAATATGTTTAAAGGTGCATCTATTGGATCACCTCAGAATTTTCTTCCTTCTCCTTTAAAAACGAAAGCTAAGAGAGACTTCATTTGAGAGGAAGAATTTATATTCCATTCGAGCTAAGTTTCGTTTGTTGGCATGTTGTCACTGTCTTGCGTACTTTCAACCTGGCTGTCTGTTCCTGTCGCTGCTTGTCCTTTTACTTCGTTTTCGTTTTCAATTGCTTGAAGTTCATCTTCGCTGCCTTTTGTAACACTTGCAGGTTCATTTGCACTATCTTGTTCATAATTCAGTTCTGTATTCTTACTATTCTGCTGTTCACGTGTCTCCTCTCTCCTCTGTTCTTTGCTGTTCTCGTCTTGTCGGCTTTCTCCGTGAACTTGCACTTCATTTTCTTTCTGTTTCTCCATTTCATATGGTGAGATTGTTTGATCCTTTCCGTTTCCTTGTTCTCTAGGCAGCTCTTCTTCTGACTGCTCTTGTGAATTATTTGTCTCAACTGATAAATCGCTTTCAGCATACTGTTTGTCATTTCTACAAACCGATGCTTGAACATTTGCCTGTTCTTTTTCATTTCTTTCATTTACATTCTCCCGTTTTGTCTCTTCTACTGTTCCGTCCATTTCTTTTTGCTCGGAACAACATTCCGTCTTGGTTTCTTCAACGTTGACTTCCTTATCCTTGCATCCATCTGCAACAGTTACTTCCCCTCCTAAGCTACCCTCCACAAATTCATGAGCATTATCTTGAACACAGCTTTTTTCACCACTGCTGCAATCCTCTCTTTTCGCGGATGAATCATCCTCCACTGACATGTTTCCTCCACTTTTATCCGCCATCGCTGAAAGATCTGTACCACTTGCTGGCGATTCATCAACGCCAGACTTTCCTTTCTCAGGGTCGACAGAATGATTACTTAATTGTGATGAATCTTGCACTACAATCATTCCATCACCGTCGTCAATAACAGCTGAAAGATCTGTGTTACCCGACGACGCATCACAAGCGACCGGCGAGTTCTTATCAGCGCCGACAGAATCACTTGTCAATTGAGATAGATCTTGTAGTTCGTTCTTTCCCTCGCTTTTCTCGATAATTGACGACTCTTCAGGAGTGTCCATAGTATCTTTATCAGTGCTAGATGAATTTTCAATCACGTTTGATGACGCTTTCAGCTCCGAGCTTTCCTTATCTGTGTTATTATTTTCACTTTCGCCAATCTCGGCATTACGTGCACCTGACCCGGAACTTTGGAGATTTTTTCTTTCAGTTACGTCGTCCTCTTCCACCTTGTCAAATTCACTGTCGCTGTCAGAGCTCTCCTCATCAGAAATTTCTCCCAAAAAGCTGACTTCGTCCGGTTTCCGCTGACCACTGCCGTTAAGTGACGTTATCGATGACGAAGCATTGATGTCGTCAAGCTTGGCAGCTGATGCCGCCTTTGATTTCTTGAACGCAATAGCAGTTTTCTCTATAAAGAGAATCATAGCTTAACAAAAACTTCAAACAAATTAAGGTGACAGACTAACGAGCACCTGTCTGATTAGGAACATTCCATTTTTATCACGAGAAACATTTGTATGGCACGAGTAGTCCCTCTTTCGCTTAGTCCGTCGAACGTGACCTTAAAAAAAATGCGAGAAAAAGTGGCCGCGCGAAGGATTTCGAACGGCCATTCTTTTCTGGCAGTTTTTGTTTCGCGTCATGCACAAGGACCAAGCAAAAGAAGGACTACTCGTAGTCTATTGAAACGTATTTAACGTTGTACAATACACTACAAACTTTGAAATTCAAACCCTAATTCGTAGGTGCGAATCAGATGTACGTAGATAAACAAAATAGGTGAGCTTGTTTGTTCGTTTAGGTCGAAATTTCTAATCTTTTGACCGTGTAAAAGACAGTACACCTACGTTGTCTCAAAGACTGAGAAGGGCTGTAGCCACTGTCTCGTTTCCAGTCGTCCCACGACAAAAATCATAATGACTGTCAGACATTCTTGGTGACAAGTTATACCATGTCATAGAAAATACAGCCAATCAAAATATAGGAAATATTACATCCACTCTTCCCATCATGCGCTGCGCGTACGTCGCATTGATTGTGTTTGGCCACTGTATTTTCTATGGCATGGATGGTATAAAATAGTTACAGCTCGTGTGTATACCGAGAAAATACAAGTGACCCGTGGGATATTCAATGGTATACCACTGGATAGCTTTGCATAACTAGCATGTCTTGTGATGATGTATGATCAGAGACCAGTAACGAGTTCTTACCTAACTGGATAAACTGGTTTGCGTAAAACAGAATCGCTCGGTAACAGAATTCATACTGCTCCTGAAAAACAAGAGGACGACGAACCAGTAAAAGTTGACAAAAAAAAAAGGGAAAAAAGAAAAAAGAATGAAAGAAAAAATATCAATATACCTTTTTCTGTACTGTAAACTTGCGGTGCTTCCTAAAGGTTCTGACAAGTTTAGGAACGTTCACTGAAATGAAAAATAAAGAACAACATGATCATCTGACGAAGAGTAGGTGACAAGTGCAGATAACACAACGTGACACCCACAACCTTAAAGAGTTGACAATCCCTCGTATGAAAATGCCAATTGGGAAAACACTGGAAAACAGTAACAAAAGACAACAGGTAGCTGTTATTCAGCATGGTTGTATCCTTACCAATATTTCCTGTGCCGCTAAGTTCACGGATTGCACTGTAAATAACACAGAAGGTTCCTGCACGACCAACACCAGCACTGAAACACGACACAAGATATCTCAAAAGATAATCCTTTACGTAAGCCTTATTGGCTTCCCTGGGCTTTCTTTCCTTATGGATTGATATTTGCAAATATATTTGCAAATATATTTGCTGTGTGGCGAAATAAAGGCCGATACTAAAGAAGAGAAGTCCATCAGTTGAGCTAGGCAAGCCTTGAGGGAGAACTGGTTTGAGAACATTGGAAAAAGAGGGCTGGCATACGCTACTGGAATTTCTTACACCAGTGAGAAAATAAACCAGCAATGTATATGTTATTACTGAAAAACCTATTAACATATTAAACATGTAATCTTCTTGATGTGGGAAACAACAAAATTCAAACTTATTCTAAATTAAATAAAATGCAAATCAGTAAAAGTAATTGGAGCGAGTGGAGGACAATTCTGGGAGTAATTACGGGAGTATTTTCAAAACGACACGAGGTCCAGTTACCAATCAGTCGTATCTATAACAAATTTCGGAATTTAAAATGTCTTTCGAGAACTTCTTTTGAGCGAAAACGTCTGTAGCGCTTTTCATAAGTTTTGAAAACTGTAAGAAACATTCCGAATCACGTGGGTATCCAGGTATACAGGTATCCAATACAGGTATCCAGTTATAAAAAATTTAAATTGGATACCTGTAATTGGACACCCACGTGATCCCGCGACGATTACGTGACAAATAGGCGCGCGGAGAACCAATCACGTTCGAGAATTTCGTTACAGATACAATTAATCAAAGTGCTCTATGAGCAAACCCGTCGATTTCCCAGTGGATGATGATTGACATGTGTGGCTTACGGGTCAATCTAGTTATACGAGTTACCATATTGACTTCTGGCTATACTTTTTATAACAATGAACTACAAGAACTGGCAAACCTCCACTACATGAGCTGCATTGCTCCGATGGATTTACTCATTCTCGATTGAGCCACTCTACCATGTAAACTTCTCATCCCCTTACCTAACATATTTTTCTTCCCGCCTGAAGAAGAAAGCGTAGCCTGCTTTACGCGACTCAGCGCCGCTAGATCGAAAGCGAATAGGTTGCGAATAAAATCGAAGCGCCTCTGCTCGCAAGGTAGCTGCAAAAGATCTTCAGAGTAATCGAGGTTTTTTATTATGAATTACAAATGCACAAAATCTAAACCATCGGATGCAATTTGAGGTCGATTATGCGAAACAGCAAGGTCACGTAACGTCAAAAACCGTGTTCTTATCGGATCCAAGCTTGAAATAAGTATATGTTGCTACTAGTGGATGTCCTTCACCAAAAAAAGGGTTGAACAAGAAAACAAAAAGATCAGTGGCTTAAAAACACAAACGGAAAAAACCCCGAAGAATCCCGGAATCTAACTCAGGTCCACTAGATTGGAACGTGGCTGCTAACCATAGTAACATGTAAGAAACCTTGCTTCAAGGGGGAAAGATACAAAGATACAAAGATACAAAGAACTACCGTAACACCCTAATACCCTAATACTCCTGTACCGTAATACCCCTATACCTTAATACTGTAATACCCCAATGCTGTACTCCCATACCGTAATACCCTAACCCTATACCCTAATACCCTAATAGTCTAATGCCCTAATACTCCACTATTCCTATACCCTAATGCCCTAATACCCAAATACTCCAATACCGTAAACGGGCTATAAACACGGGTGGGAGTCTTGTGTTAAGGTGACGAAATTACCATCTACAGCAGTGCTTGAGGGCGCCTTGAGGAAATAGAAAATCGAGGATTCAACCAAATTCAAAAATTTCTTTCGCCCAACTGCTTCGAATAACAAGTTGATTCGTTTTAGCGGGTTAGGAGCACTTTGAAAACGTAAAAACATTCATGAGACAAAAAGAAGGTGGTATATTCTAAAGGTTTGCCTCAAACTATCACACACGTGCTTTTACCTGCAGTGCACCACAAGGGGCCTCTCAGCGTGAGGGTCCTTTTCCTTGTGATGATTATGCACCTCTGACAAAAATGTCAGCAGGTCTGAGGGTGAATGAGGAACTCCACTGCAAGAAAGAAAACAAAGATGTTAAATAACCAGAATGAGAAAAAAAAAACACATCTGCTTAGATACGTGCTTTATAGCCAAGAAATCACGTGACTTACTGATCAGGCCAACCAATAAATTGCAAGTGTGTCACTACAAGCACTTCATCACTCTAAAATTGCAAAGAAAGAAAAAAGATTATTAGGTTGTTTAGACATGTACCTGTATATGAAGGTAACAAACTGTTCTAACAACTCATGATGTAAAATTTAAAACAAACAAACAATGGCTTCCCTCCCAGTTTCTGAATATCTGCATTTAACATGGTATGGAATAAACAGTACAAAGAACAAGCAAACAAAGCAACAAATGCAGCAGGGAAAGTGGAAACAATGGCGTCTCAACATGAACAACCCCTTCCCTCTTCACCTTATAACAAGAAATACACTGGAAAGCAACTGACTCAGATCGCAATACGTTGAACTCTAAAAATTACAAACTCAAAAGCACATAAATAGCTGTGATGAAGGTGGACAGAAACCACCCTAAATTCAGTAAGACAAAACAGTAACTAATACTCTTTGCCTTCGTATCAAGCTAAAGCTTGTTGCAAAACACTTCATATAGAAACAATGAGTGATTTGTAAGAAAATTAACTGGTAATAGAAACATAAACGTTTTACAACAGCACTCGTTGAAAATCAGAAGACTAATGTTTGTTACGATCTACATTTAGATCTTGTTTAGTGTAGACATAAATACGTCACTCCACCTCAGCATGTTGCACGTGCATAATACGTTCGATCCAGGCCTGGCAGTGAGTCAAGCTTCTCATATGGACTCTGATTGCTCCATAGACAACTGTGTGACCTTCATCAATGGGCCAGTACTGATGGCACTTAAGCTAAAATACGACACAACACATTACTAAGACCAAATCCAATAGAAAATCGAACAATTTCAGTTTGTAGTGGACAAAAATCTTGTACCAGAATATTGCTAAGTACGTCAAAGTCCTTTTTGAATTTTCGAAAAGCTAAAGCTATATATAATTGCCTGAAATAACACCAAAAACAATTTCCCATACGAAGTCGAGAAAATAAATTTCAAAGTTCAGAGAAATTATGCAAACACAGGTGAAATTACATTATCACTGTCATTTCATCAATACTTTCAAGTGTTTCATATGAACTTCAAAATTTGTTTTCAAGATTTGGTGTTGTTAGAAATGCTTTCTTTTGAGAATATATTTAAAACAGTCGTACAGAAGTTTGCAATACGATGTAAATAATCTTGGTACAAAGTTTTTCCACTTGTCACTCGAACTTGTGGATTCCTTCTTAATAATGATCCTTGGTTCACAGCCTCGTACATATGCCGTGCTAAACTCGGTCACAGTAAGGCACAGCACCAGTACAACAGTACAGTTGTAATTTTAACTCAAGGTATGCTGCTCTTAATTCAAAGTTGTGGCAAATCGTTCGAAGACAAATACTTCTTGTGCTTACACATAACATAACAGACTTCAAAATTCCAGTCTTAATTTCTGGAAATTTCCCGTTGAAAATGGACCTGAATTTTCCGGAGAAGAGGATATACCTCGTGAGGTATACCGAAAGTTTTGAAAATTTCTTATCCAGAATTTCCGTTTCGTGTGATCTTGCTCCAGGAATTTCCGGAATTTTCGGTTGATGGGTTCGCGTTCAGGAAATTCAACAATTTTTTTGGATTTTCCGTAAACTTTCCCAGGAAATTTTCGTACCGCTACCCCCCGTTTCGAAAGCTCTGAAGTTTTTGACTAAATAGACATCGTCGTTAGCTTTCCATGTGATTGTTAACAAGAGAGCTAGAAATGGGAGCAGTTTCATCCTCATATAACAGTCTACAATTCCTACATCACCCTCTATATATCATCTTCAGTTCTTTAGTTATAACGAATAAGATGTTTTACTGCACCATGTACATGTATGGATATCAGTTCCCTTATTTAAACACAGTGTACGAGTTTCCTAAACATTGCTATACATGTTTCCAGGAAGTCCTGTTTTCTTTTTTGTTTTTTACCAAAAAGAAATGATCTAACGATTAAATCTCTACCGGACTTTATTGTACTTACGCGATTTCCTTCTACTTCTTTAGTGAGCATCACAATGACAGGAGATTTTCGTTCCCAGACCATCAACCAAAAGTCTCCCAGTGTAGCAGCGATGGGGCCCTGGGTAAGAATGTAATCTGGAGACAGAGGTGTCACGTTCTGTAAAGAGAAACAGTTTAACTGGTCAATATCACACTATGTCTGGGCCCCTCACTATTTCAATCCAGTGAGATTTTGTCTGATAAATCTAATTAACCAAAATCCAGTGGTATCGGGACCATCTTACAGACGCTTATGCAACGAAAATAGAAATATAAAAAGTCCATCATCATAAAGTTGTTCATGAAATTTATATTTGAAAGTTATTTCGCAGAGGGTAGCTTAAAAAAGTAGCAAAACTTCAGGGTTTAAGGTAGATTTTGTCTGCAAAATTGCAAGGTATTTTAAGCTACCGTAGTCTTTTCCTAATCACGACACAGTGCGTGAATTTCTGCCAGACTGTGTAGCTGGCACACACGTCCTTTTTACTATATAAACATTAGTCTCAACAGTTAGTGGAAAAGCGCCACCCAATACAATACTGAAAGAAAGTTCTTTCCAATGACTTGAGCGGGCTATTCTTACCTTGATGACGTTAGCATTGATGTAGTCTCCCCCCTCCTTTGTATTTAGTGTCACCCTTGTGTGGTCCCCTGTAGAAGAAAATAAGTAAAAAAGTGAAGCCTTGGAGCCGACTGGCTCATAGCTGCCAGAGCTTATCCCGGTTTCTGTAGCATGAAGCGGCTAGGAGTATTTCTACTCCCCCTGGACGGAATGCTAGTCCATCGCAGGTCACTCCCACGCAATTTGTTAGGTTTCCCCAAAAATTCGACGGTACCCATTTATACTCCTAGGTGGAGAGAGACACCGTGAGAGTTAAGTGTCTTGCCCAAGAACACAACAAATAGTTAAATAATTACTGCCCTGTACTGCTTTTCTCCACATCGTCGTAAATGTACTTCAGAGTTCATGATCTTATTGTCCAATCAGCAATAACACGAGCCCTTCATAAGTTTTCTATTCGCTAGCTTACTGTCGTTTTTTTTCCACAGTGGAATCGAATAAGCTACCGATATAGCTTGCACATGCACCAAGCCATCAAACCATGACTTTAATCACGACTTTACAAAGAAAACTATTGCAATACTAACAAGGTAAGATGTCTCTGTATCTGTTCTTAGATGGGTTGAGAGTGGCTGCCTGAGTGGAGAAGACGGCAGAATCACTTTCCTGCATTCTCTCTAGTACCTATACACGATACGAAGAGAAGGAAACGATCAACCAATAAGTACAATTGTTTTTTAACAAGTCAAATATTGTTTTTATCATTTACTTCAAATATTCAACATATAACACAAATGAAAGCAAAGTTCATTGTGTTTGACACAAGTCTGGCTAAAGCTACTAGAAGTACAGTGAAAGGGAAGGTAGAAGCAAATCTGCCAAATATCCAAACACTTTCGCGAGTAAAGGCAATTCAAAGTTTGCTTGCTCCATACTGCCGGAGTTTATCTCGTTTTCTGTAGGATTAATCAACTAGCAGAATTTCTATTCCCCCCTGGATGTGATGCTAGTCCTTCGCAAGGTTATCCACAGCATTAAATTCCCGGTACCCTGTTATACACCTGGGTGTAGAGAGGCACTGTGAGAGTAAGGTGTCTTGCCCAAGGATACAACGCAATGATTCGAAGCCAAATCGCTCAACCCGGAATCCAGCGCGCTAACCACTAGGTCACCACGCCTGCTGCAACATTTTCACGAGTTTACACATAATTAATCATTAATTACTCTGATATCAAATATCAAATTTTGAAAGGATCATGCGCCGCTTTAAAGATTACCTACCTTCCACTCATGAATGAATCCATTGTAGGGTGTATTTTCACGTTTCTGTTCCAAGCTCACAACAAGAGCATCAAACGTCTCCACAGAGCGAGACAATCTCTGAATGTATTCTTCTTCACTCAGACACTCATTGTTCTCATCCTGGCCAATGCTCGACTTCTGTGTCTCATAGTAATGACCACACTGGCGATGTAAAGAGGGCTTGTTTGGGTCTACAGCTGTCGTTGTATCAGGAGGCTTGATGGGCAGCTGACCCATTTCCGGCATTTTCCCCGGCTCGTACAAGTACTTTGTCTTGGGAGGAAGAGGAGGTGCAGCGTTCTTTTGAAGTTCTTTGATCTTTTGGATCTGTTCCTCAACTTCTTGAAGTCTGCGTTTCTCTTTGTCCTCCTCCGCAGAATGTTCTTTTTCATGAAGTTTTACCTCTGGTTTGCTTTCACTTGAAGATGACAACTCAACAGCAGTGTTAGGTTCTAATTTCTGTTCTGTGTTGCTGGAAGATTCACTCTCTACGTTGTCTTCTACCTCATGAGATCCACTTTCCCCCTCTTTTCTCTCTCCAGATTCCCCCTTTGCTATCATACTTTGATCTCCAACTAATTCTTTTTCCGAGTGTTTTGGCGCATCAGGATCTGAATGGCCAGCAAGCTTAGAGCCATGAACATTCCCATCAGTATGTTTTCCTTTCTCAGAAATTTCATTTAATTGTTTCTTGGTCAAGTCACCAAAGACTTGCTCCATGTCAAGCTTGCCATGAGAATGATCTGAAAATCCACTACCCCACGAGGTACTAAAAGTGCTGGAACTTTGAGGTAATGCCGAATTAAGGTCTTTTTCAGCTACCTCTTTGTTGACTGTGGTAGGCCGAGGATCCATTTGATCCTCCTTTGGTTGAGCCTTCTCATGGTGTTGCTCATGGCTCTCATGTTCCTCTTTGTCCTTCAGCTTTTGCTCCATCTCAGCCAATTTTGTTTGCTGTTGCAACACCTGCTGGACCAATTGAGCAAGGTGACCCTGATCTGAGTCATGCTGCTGCTGTTGTTGCTGATGCCTTAGCAGCTCCTGCTGCTGCAAAATAAGCTGCTGCTGCTGAAGAAGCATCTGCGTTTGAAGCTGCTGCATCTGCTGCTGTTGATTGAGCTGTGCCTGAGCTACAGATACGGAATAACTAGTGGCATAAGCAGACGATGGTACGCTTGTTGGGCTGGGTCTGACTCCTTGAACCAGAGGAGGTGCTGAGGGAGCAGACCCCTGACTAAACGTGTACGGTTGGCTAGCTGATGGGGATGGCGGGGGGTCACTGACACCAGTACTGTAGGGAGGGTAAGAGGAAACTTGACCTCTTCTTTGCTCTGGGTATTGACTTTTGTTTTTATAATCAGTTGAATCCTGTCGAGTAATGCCTGTTGGATAAATCGCCTGTTCTCGACGAGACTGTTCTTGGGGAGGGTTTTGGTTTGTTTGTGTTGGTGTCCATACCTGATCTACCTGCGTTTGCTTGTAAGGCTGAGCTTGCTGAGGACCTTGAACTTGCTTCCCTCCAAAAACGTGTTGTTGTTCTTTTCCATCTTGACGTGGTAATGACTGGCTACTTAAGGGAGCACGAGTTGATGGTAAGGGCTGCGATACTTGCACGTAGGGCCAGCTTCCTGAGGAAGCAGGAAAAGTGTTCTGTTGAGGAGGAAGTCCTCCAGGACTCTGCAGACCAGACGGTTGAGAGGGAAGACTTTCTTTAGGTGGTGTTGGTTGTGATTGAGTAATCTGTGAACGTTGTTTGTCTCCTTGAAAGGGATAGTCAAGTTGGACTGACTGACTACTGGCGTGAAGTGGCCGTTGACCAGGACTATAACCTGTATGAGATTGTTGAGGATGATAGCCTGGTCTGGATACCTTTGATGGGTGGTCAGACAATTGTTGCTGCCACGATGCTCCCGACAACTGACTAATCTGAGACTGACTAATCTGAGACTGACTTTGAGGAGGCTTCACTGGTGCTTGAGATGTTTGTAAATTCTGCGACGTTTGCTGCCCCGGGTAAGGTGATTGCTGTGGAAGTACATCTTTTGAAAACTTTTGTTCCTGTATTGGTTGTCGAGACTGATTAGGTTGAAAAGGTTGCAAATATTGTGAATGTGTCTGAGGCTTCTGCGGTTGAAGAGGTTGTACTGGTTGCTGGAAATTCTGTTGGGGCTGTAATGGTGACTGAAATTGTTGCTGTTGAGGAGGCAATTGAGGGGACTGACTTTGCCCTTGAAGAGTTGGTTGAAACTGATGCGGCTGTTGTAAGGAATCCTTGTTCTGTTGTTGTTTGGGGAACTGTTGCTGATGCTGTGGTGGCTGTTGTAACTGTTGCATGGACTGCTGAAATTGCCGTGGAGGCTGTGATAATTGTTGGCCCTGATGTTGTTGTTGTTGTTGTTGAAACTGAGAAGTTTGTTGGGAAGTTCGTGGTGGTTGAGATTGTGATTGAGGCTGGAGTGGATGCTGCATCTGCGGCCTTGCTGGTGGCAAATTTTGAGGCTGAAGGGGCTGTTGAAGTAGTGTTTGGCTTGGTGAAGACTGGCGGTACTGTTGCTGGGAATGTGTTGGTGGTGGTTGTTGTTGTCCCTGGTACAGTTGCTGTGGTTGTTGAAACTGTTGCTGAGGTTGCAACAGTTGCTGGGATTGCAATGGTTGTTGAGGCTGCATGGGTTGCTGAAGCACTGATGGCTGCTGAGGATGCAGAGCTTTCTGAGGCTGCAACGGTTGTTGAGGATGCAGAGGTTCCTGAAGATGCAATGGCTCCTGAGGACGCAGAGGTTGCTGAGGTTGCTGAGGTTGCAGCAGCTGCTGAGGAAGCAGAGTTTGCTGAGGCTGTAACGGCTGCTGAGGATGCACAGGTTGCTGAGGTTGCAATGGCTGCTGTGGATGACGAGATTGCTGAGGCTGCAAAGGTTGTTGAGGTTGTAAATTTTGTGGAGGACGCATGGGTTGTTGAGCTAGCTTGGGAAACTGGAACGGCTGGCTTCGCCAGTTCCGTGAAGGTTGACTTGGTACAGATTGAGGAGTTTGTGACATTGAACTCAGTGGAGTTGGCTGCTGGAACCCTTGGGGTGACCCAGCCTGGCTGGGATACTGTGGTTGGGATGTTGGATGCGGTCCTCTTGGAGATTGATACTGTTGTTGAGGAGTAAACGCCTGCTGGGACGTGGCAGGATTTTGTCCGTGTGGCCAGTTTTGTTGAGCTTGAGTGGGTGGCTGCTGGGTTCTGCTCAACTGTGGGGATCCAGAAATGAGTTTAGCTTGATCATATGATGGTAATCCTTGAACAGCATTTGGGCCTGACACTTGACCAGCTGCAAAATGAGGCTGAGGTGGTCGTGGTATTTGGAGGGGGCCTCCTGGAAGACCAGGCTGAAATCCTGGTTGACTCACTGGTGGGAAGGAAGGTCTGACAGGTACAGGATATGACATCCTTGGTGTTGAATGAATTAGACGCTCAGCAGGCACAGAACCCCTTGGACCAACTTGCGTGAATGGAACTGCATGACGTGGCTGCATGGATGGATGCACAGTAGGTCCAGCGGCTTGTGAAGTAGGTGGCTGAGGGATCCTTTGATCTGGAAAGTTGTACTGAGGTCCAGAATCAGAAAGAGTCCTGGATAACTCACCAGGAACATGCTCTGGAGCTGGTAATCTTGGGTCACCAGATGGAACAGGTGGCCTCATAGGACCTCCAGGTGCAACAGACGGGTAAAATCTTCCATCAGTTGAAAGCGGGGAAGTTGCTCCTGGAAATGTACCTGGAGGGATTGCTCCACCAGGGATCCTTGGGTGAAGAGGAACCCCTTGTGGTGTAGGATTGGGAGTTCCTGGCCTTACGCCAGGGTTACGTATCATTAATCCTCCAGGATACTGACTTGGTGGGGGGCCTGGCACACTAGATGCTGGTGGATGAACAAGGTGATCTGGTTTGGCTGCATCGGGACGAGCAGGTGGTGGTTTGGCTTTCTCTGGAATAAGGACAGTACATCACTTAAATTTACAAGAGTATCATTTAATCATAAATTTGAAGATTATGCTTAAAATGAAAACTAGACATACTGTAATGATTCGATTTAGCACCCTTTTTCCAATAAGCACCCTCTTCCAATAAAGGCCCCACAACAAAAGCACCATTCTAGACATTGACATAGGGTGTACTATTTAGACGAATGATTTACAAGTCTGCTTTCACATCTGAACGTAATATTTAATATTATGGCTATCAGAGCTCCTATTGGCACAGTTCTTGAGTAAAGCATACGTTGGTTTTCATTACAGCGTTTAACCACATTCAGATGTATGTCCCTGGCGCGAAACTGAATCATTACGCTACTTTGTTTCAACACTGCATTGTCAGACCGTCACTTGGTAGACGTAATACGTTGAAACGAAGAGTGAACGAAATGTGTAAAATACACAGTATCCATTGCCTAAATTATAGTCGTCAAATACTTTCTCAAAAGTGTCAAATTTGGGAGACAAAGCGGCAAAGTAATTTCCTTTGATGTTTACAAGGTTGTAGCTTATACTATACTTGCTACTTACATAGGTCGCCATTGTTAAAAGGGTTATCGTTTCAGACAATCAATCACAGAAATGGTATACACAGAACATGTATTCACATACAGAGTTGTTCCTCAGGACAAAAATAAGACTCGCAAAAATACTGCACAATGTTTATTTGTTGATCACCTTTGGCCTTTTTCTCCTTTTCCTCGATTTTAGCCATTTCTTTCTTTCGAGTTTCATAGAATTCTTTGAGCTTCTCTTCTAATTTCAAAACAGTCTTCTCCAGGCCCTGGTAGAACCGCAGTCCACGGCTATTCCAAGCAAAAAGAAAACACGTGTCAAATCTAGAATCAGTGGTGAAAGATCCTTGAGGTTTAAAATCGCACTCGGAGAACGGAAACTTAACGCAGGTAGCAAATGGCGCCATAATCAGCGTAAAGTAGGATGTCGGACAACCTTTAAAAGATTGCGGCTCTCAAGAAAGTAAGATAGTAAATGATTTGAACCCACGTGTATCAGTAGTTCGTATACAGTGAAACCTGTATTAAGCGGACACCCTCTTTTAAGTGGATACCAGCTTGAGTCCCTGAATTTTCTTCCCACATTTACTGTAATTAAAAATAAACCTACAATCAGCGGATACCTCTGTTAAGCGGATGCGGACACCGATATTAAACCATTTTTTGCACAAAACATGACAAAACCTGCAATAAGCGCACACGTCAAGGGCTTTTTACTGAAAGCTCAGCGCAGACTCCTTTATTGTCCAGTGACGTCGTTTTAAAGCTAAGTAGACTATTCCAGATTGATGTATTGACTGACTGGACATTGTGCTATAATCAACTATTATTGCAAAAAATATATTAGAACCTGGTTGGCGCGGACACCCTGTATTAAGCGGATACTAGTGAGTGTCCCAAGGGTGTCAGTGTAATACAGGTTTCACTGTAGTGTGATCGTCTGGGTGAGGATTATTCTAAAAAGAACTGTTATTGGTGACTGACATCTCGACAACCTGAGCGGAAGTTCATTCCAGTAAGTTTCGATCCGTCTACTGCTAGTCCGTCTGTTGGCTTTGCTAATGCCGTGAATCGGTCGTTTGTAAGGTGCCGGCTGGAACCGAAAAATAACTGTCAACGAACTTTATACGAGTCTTACAGCAAATATCATCATGTCTAAACTGACCAATCAGTTTCAAAGGATCAGACTTTCACTAACAAACACTTTTCGTTCCACTCACAAGATGACTTCCGCTCAGGTTGTCGAAACGTCAGTCACCAACAACCGGTTCTTTTCGGAACTATCCTCACCCGGACGATCACACTAGACAAACCTCTCAAGAAGTTGGATTGGCTCAAAACATAAAAGGACACAAAAGCCTAAAAGCAAGAACAGTTGCACCCTGATGAAGTTTCCCATCTGGTGTCAACTTGAAATGCTATTGTACGCGGTATAATTATTTTCCTTTCTCAAACACAACTTTCCATTTCTGTTGTTCAAGTTACTGCGCTCTTCAATAACAAGTGAACTCTACTCAAGCAATGATTCCTTTTTTGCTGCAGTTAGTCACCACTTTAACAGGTCCAAAAGTGGCGTTTCTTGATTGTGATTGGTAGATTTTGATCTATTTTGCTTGTTTATTTTTTCAAAGCTTCATTTAATGTCGTCATGATTATGATTAAAGGCAGGGAAAAACACAGCCGTAACAGCCATTAAACTTCTGGGTTTGTAAGTTATTGAAAGATGCAGTAAAATTCCATAGTTTTGCTAAGAACAATTTGTGATAATTCATTACCTCAGCTTTTCTTTCAGTTCCAAAAATGTATCATGGGACAAAACAAATGACTTTACTGCATCATCTCGCCTGCAAGAAGAAACGCTGACTGAGCACAGGTAAAAATAGAATAAACCTCCATCATGTCATGGTGTTGTGCTCCTGGGCAAGGCACTTCCTGTCTCCACTAAGGTCTATAAATGGGTGAAGGGGTATTAGTCAAGAGCACGGGGGTCACCTGAAATGGACTAAGTTTCTGTATAGTGCAACAGGCAGGATTGTTAGTAGATTCTATTGAAACCGCAATAAACTCGGGCACTACTGCCTCAAGCAGCCAAGTCACAGAAATGGAGGTACTGATACTCTAAGAACGGTCAGTGGTGTTTACCGAGAACCACATTCTCCAAAGCAAATTGTTTAAATTGAAAGGAGAATCTGTTGTTACCTTTGAGCTGTTTCTTTCACTGCCTGCCTTGTTGGTGCGTATTTGGCATTTGCTTCAGTCAGAGCTCTGGGAAAAATAAGATTGTACTCTCATTTAAGCTTGCACCCGTAAAGCAAGATAAAAATCCTCACAACAAGGACTGACATGACAGTTTGCCATCATAACAAGATCGATAGGAACACAATTCGGGCTCACTTTAAAATTTTAGGCTGAGCATCCAGGTTGGCTTGAATCAGGGCACATGTGCCATCATGTTTCTTCAGCTGCTCTTCAAAGAAAACCTGACAGATAATCATGTGAGAAATAACATTGGCAAAAGTAACCCGAGCATTCCCAAGAACAAATACAATCTGCAAGGATTATACTAACTGTAAAATACGTCATGCTCGTTTTACATGTAACATTAGGGAGCTTAAGCAAACCACGACGGAAACATCAACGAGAACGTCACCAAACAAAAGGTTTAATAAGTAGAAAAATGGCTCAGCACGTGCGTGTTTAATCGTGACACATTTTTTAACCGTCGTCTACAAAATAACGTGAAATGACCAAGTTCTCCGTATTTGAATGTGAACTGCAACGCCTTTTTTTGCATCTTCTTTTGGAATTGAATGCTGTCGTTACACATTAAGCCTTAGCCAGTTTTTAGACCGATATACGACTTATACAGATCTACACAATTGCGACATTCAAAGGAAAAAAAATATATATATTTTTTACCAGGCGTCGTCCCTATTATCTACTGCATTCCGCTGCCACTAAAGTGTGAACATGTTGGACAAAAACATGATCTAGGTGGCTAGCAAATGTTATGTGATTACTAACAAACGTCTGAAGTCTGACTTTACATTTGAAACGTTTTTGCACCTGAAACTGGTAACCAGAAACAAGTTCGGATTACAGTCATGCTTTGCAATGAGTTAACTTTGCTTGAATTTTTAAAGGTCTATTCGAAAGTCAACTTCCTGTGAAAAGTGTTCGCCTATGCACTTCCAAACTGTCTCATAATCATTACTGATATCACCTTTGCAGGTTATGTGGTTGTAACAGTATTGTACACGATTTTGCTGCATCCGTTACTTAAGTGGCCACAAAACACTTACACAAAAAATACACACAAACAAACACTTGCTAAAAATAAAAATAAGCATAACCAGAAGCCTAGTGTTGAGAAGCAGCTGATAATTATTATAATTATTACCATCTTGTTTCCGTCTTCCCTTGTCACAAGTAGTTGTGTGATGTCATCATCTGCCAACTGAACGAACAAATAACAATGTACAGTAAAATTAACAGAGGTGTATACGCTGGTTGGTTTTCCAAAAAGGAAAAAAAAAAAAACATGCATTTGGCAAGTAACTTACACGCTATTGCAGTCAAGAATGGTATTTTAATTTATAATTATTCATGTGGAAATGCTTAGCACGACACTCAAAACCTAGGAGTCCGGATCCAAGTTCTAGCAAGGTGGAAACCTGTGTTGCATACCTCACTGTAACTATGCTTCTCCACCAACTGCGAGAGTACTGGATATAAACAAAGTGGAAAGGAAACTGGACAAAGTACTGGTAATGGACAAGCAGTCTTACCCAAAGGAAGGACATGGAATCTGGACACACAGGCAGGGACGGGAGGGGTGGGCTGAGGTCCACAGGTAAACCCTATAAAAGCTGATGAATGCCCACCAGGATATAGGCTCTCCCATCAAGTTCAACGTAGCACCTCCTTGTCACAACCCTTGGAAAAACATGGAGCTTTCCATTCCACCGAAAAACGTTTGAAACAGGGGCAAATGATGTAGAGATTGAATTTACAAGAAAATCCAAGAAATTCTGATAGCAAAATATAATGGAACAGAAAATTGTGGTATGGAATTTTCGACAAGTTCAGTGCAGATGCATAACTGGAATGGTTATCCTCCTTTCTTAAAATTCCAGAAGCTCCTGTTCAATTTGCTTAAGGAATTCAAACAGGAACTTTTGCTCAAAGGGAAAGCACCCAAAGTTTCACTGTCACCAAGCAACTGAGTATCACGCCCCTTCAAATAATGGGGTATAATACCTAAGGGAAGGAAACCCAGTGGCAAAACCCTCACTCTCAAGGCTGCGTTTTGCATTAAACTAGTTCCTCATTCCAAAAAAGGTCTGATTATGGAAATGGAAATGAAAGGAAGAGTGTGGCAGAAACTTGACAACTGAGGGATCTTGTTTCCAGCCCTATTTCCTCGAGGGGTTAGCAGCATAAGTCAAATACATGCATGCTAAGCCAATGTTATAGACTGCGGAGCTCAGAGCTCAGCACACTCGGAAACCTCTATCTTTACTCGCTGACTGAAGACGCTAACAGGCTGTTTACCTGCTTCCGTAACTCTGCTTCAAACTGTTTCCTCTGGGATTTCATTAGGTCCACCTTAGACTGGAATCACAAAATGCTGACTTTTCAGTGAACTGTATACTAGCAAATAACAGACTCGTAACTTGATATATACAAACGATAAAATTTTCATTTGCATCTGCAGCTCAAGGAGAATTATATTGATTTGAGTCCTTAATGGGAACTAGATGCAGTTTGGGAACTTAAGGTAAGCTGCTGCCTTAATGCGAGAGGGGTGAGGACTCTTATTAACCTAATGGGAAAGATGAAAAGTGATGAAAGAGCTGGAGAGCACCGGGAAGATGTGGGGTGAGATTAAAATGAAATCTTGCAAGCATCAAAGTCCGATCCAGAGCTATGGTGGAAGCACTATACCTCATGAGGGGCAAATGGGAATACATAGGTTGATAGCAAAACTTACAATGAGATCTCTAAGACGTTGAACTGCTCCATCATCAATGGGAGCTGAAATGAAACAAAATAGTACAAATTTATTTTATAAACAAAACCAAAAAACAAAACAGTACATACACCTAAATAGGGAAGAAAGTCCAATAAGATGTACATGCACAACTATTCCCTCTCTAAGCATACATGTCTCAATCAAGCCCATCACATAGAGGCAAAACAAAATTCCCTTTACAGAGTAATTCCGGACAGCAAAGCACATAGCATGNGCAAAATATAATGGAACAGAAAATTGTGGTATGGAATTTTCGACAAGTTCAGTGCAGATGCATAACTGGAATGGTTATCCTCCTTTCTTAAAATTCCAGAAGCTCCTGTTCAATTTGCTTAAGGAATTCAAACAGGAACTTTTGCTCAAAGGGAAAGCACCCAAAGTTTCACTGTCACCAAGCAACTGAGTATCACGCCCCTTCAAATAATGGGGTATAATACCTAAGGGAAGGAAACCCAGTGGCAAAACCCTCACTCTCAAGGCTGCGTTTTGCATTAAACTAGTTCCTCATTCCAAAAAAGGTCTGATTATGGAAATGGAAATGAAAGGAAGAGTGTGGCAGAAACTTGACAACTGAGGGATCTTGTTTCCAGCCCTATTTCCTCGAGGGGTTAGCAGCATAAGTCAAATACATGCATGCTAAGCCAATGTTACAGACTGCGGAGCTCAGAGCTCAGCACACTCGGAAACCTCTATCTTTACTTGCTGACTGAAGACGCTAACAGGCTGTTTACCTGCTTCCGTAACTCTGCTTCAAACTGTTTCCTCTGGGATTTCATTAGGTCCACCTTAGACTGGAATCACAAAATGCTGACTTTTCAGTGAACTGTATACTAGCAAATAACAGACTCGTAACTTGATATATACAAACGATAAAATTTTCATTTGCATCTGCAGCTCAAGGAGAATTATATTGATTTGAGTCCTTAATGGGAACTAGATGCAGTTTGGGAACTTAAGGTAAGCTGCTGCCTTAATGCGAGAGGGGTGAGGACTCTTATTAACCTAATGGGAAAGATGAAAAGTGATGAAAGAGCTGGAGAGCACCGGGAAGATGTGGGGTGAGATTAAAATGAAATCTTGCAAGCATCAAAGTCCGATCCAGAGCTATGGTGGAAGCACTATACCTCATGAGGGGCAAATGGGAATACATAGGTTGATAGCAAAACTTACAATGAGATCTCTAAGACGTTGAACTGCTCCATCATCAATGGGAGCTGAAATGAAACAAAATAGTACAAATTTATTTTATAAACAAAACCAAAAAACAAAACAGTACATACACCTAAATAGGGAAGAAAGTCCAATAAGATGTACATGCACAACTATTCCCTCTCTAAGCATACATGTCTCAATCAAGCCCATCACATAGAGGCAAAACAAAATTCCCTTTACAGAGTAATTCCGGACAGCAAAGCACATAGCATGGAATTTGTACTGAAAGCTGATGATGAACTTACTGTCTATAATGTTTAGAGATGGTAAAGCAGCTATCAGTCCTTCAGAAGGTCCTGTTAACAAGTCCAAGTTATGTTTGTGCTCCTGGAATACCTTCAACAACTCAGTGTTTGTCTGTGTCTAAAAGAACACAGCCAACATCATCATCATCATCATCATCATCATCATCATCATCATAATTATACTAAATATATTTGCACAATTAAATTACACTTAGGCCTCCTTAGTTTATTTGCTTACTGCCTTCTTGTGTGATTCCTGGCATTGTTCAAGATCTTTCTCAAAATCCTTTCTCTCTGCAGGAGGGGCCATCGGACCTACAAGTTCCTGTAAAAACAAGTTTGTATGAGTAGCATTAATAGTTCTCTTTCCCACATTTAAAACAAAAATGATTATTCAGTAATACACATATAAGTAACATAAAACCTTTCACGTCCCAGTAGCTTATAGCTTTCAACGTTTTTACAACGTGTTCTGTACATGGGGAGCCTAGGAGTATTGCTACTCCCCTCTGGATGTGATGCTAGTTCATCACAGGTTACTCACCAACATTATCACCTGGGATGGGGACATGTGAGAATAAAGTGTCTTATCAAACACCACACAATGACGCTGGCTGCAGCTTGAACCTTGAACCTGCCAATATTTGGCTCTGGGAGGGGGGGGGGGGTGACTCCCATATAAAAAGGAAAGGGGTGCTGGTTGGAAATTTTGAAAAGAACCCCCAGGAGGTACCAAGATCATGTTTTGTGGGCATAACTTGAAATTTTTTTGCTTCTAAGAGGTACCAAAGACAAAATAACATATTAACTGATAGTTTCATAAATTTTAATGGCAATAAAGACAATTGCAAGGAATACTTTCCACTTGTAAAGTTGTTTGTAAAAAATCTCCTGTTATATTTTTTCAGCTCTATACCTGAAAGGTACCTCCAAAGCTTCCAATGTGGATCTTTTGAGGCTAAACACCCTGAGAGCTACCAAAACCACCTTTTTAACCCCTAAAATGTACCATGAGTACCCCTGTCCATTTATTTGGAAGTGCCCCCCCCTCCAAGGATTGGCCACCATGCTTCCCCTAATTTGGTAATAATTAAATCTATGTAAAATAACATTTCATCTGGACAATTATAAACAACTAGTTTCTTTAAAAACCAAACTCACCGTCAGTTCGTTCTCTTTTTGTTTATCCTCCTCCAGCATTTTAGCAAGGGATGTCAAAATATCTTCCACCTTGGAGCCTACCTTTGTCAGTTCTACGGATGAAGAAGACACACCTAGTTACATGTATAAACTTAAACTTTAGGCGAATACTCCACTGTTGGAATAAATTGCTGTAAAATTGATAGGAAAATAGTCAAGAGAAAATGTGATGAAAACAAATTAAAACTATTTCGGTGAGCTGATTTTCAACAATTAATTATTAACAAGAGCAAAATAGTTTGTGATGCTCAGCTTCAACACCAGTAACATGTGCCAGAGCACTAAAAAGAAATGAAGAGATAAAACAAACTGGTCTCAGCCTTGTGAGAAAGTTACATGTAAGCTGTCCTTACCTTCAATGTTATTTTCAACACCTTTCAAAGAGTTGTCATCTTTCGTCAGAGAATCACTCTTCTGCTTGATAACAGCTACAAAAGAAAGAAAAATCAGTTTCACAGGAGAGACTTTTAAAATTCATGTCCCGGCCTGGGTTGTTTGAAAGGTGGATAACACTATCCACCAGATAAATCATTAACCAGCAGATAGCATGGTTTGTTTTGTTAACATTTACCCACTGGATAGCGATTTACCCAGTGGTTAGTGTTATCCAGCCGTCAAACAACTGGGTCCAGGGCAATACTCTTTCAAAGTAAATAATCAAGGATTGTTGTTACTATCTAACCTGGAAGGGTGTCATATCCTTCAGGTTCCAGTAAATCATCAATGTGCAGATCTCCTAAGGCTTTGCTGGATATTACATGAAAAACAAAAATTATATTCACATGAATAGATGGTGGAAAGGAACAATCTAAGTGCCATTGAAATGGAAATTCAAATAATTTTCAATTTAAGGTGGCTGGCAACAGTTTCCAGCACTTTCCAGCACATTCCAAGACTTAGATTTTTATGAGCCACTCTTTCTCAGTTGATGCTACAATCAGGGTATTAAAAAACTGCCCAACCATTGCTGAATGCATTGTTATCATTTTCATTCCACAATAAGTTACTATAGCACAGAGCTCGAAAAAAGTGCCGCCCCATTGTCCTGGACAAGTAGATTTTCCTGCTGGGCAAGTAAATTTTCATTCTCACTTGCCCAATGGGCAAAGGATCAGGCAAGTCTTCTGCCAGCTAAATCATTAAAAGAGCAAACCAAGACTTGCCCAGGGCAAGCAAAATTAGAGAGCTACTTGCCCCAAGGGCCCTGTAGCAACAGTATGACCTGTAAAACCAACCTTAATTTTAGCTTTAACTGCTAAAAACTTAAAAACGAGCTTAGTGGTGCAACTTTTGGAAAAGTTTCACAAAGTTCTGTTAACAGCTACCTTAAAGTTCCAAAAAGAAAGGTGGTTCTCAGGGCTGTCAATAATAATTATTTTTGAAGTAGACATCACAAATTTGAAAGTAGGCAATAGGTTACCTTTCTAGTGCCAAAGGTGCTAGCTTCTTAGGGAGTCTTGGGGCATGCTTCCCCAGGAAATTTTGGAAGTTAGATGCTTGGAAATGCCCTTTACAGCATTTTCCAGTCAGTATTTGGGACTAAAGAACAATCAAACCTATGACTATATGTCCATGTTTTATGTTTAACAACCGTTCTATACAGTACTTAAAATCTCGAAAGTCTCAAATTTTATAATCTTCCCATGAATTTGGCATAACCCTTTCATTCTGCTGAAGACAAGAGGACCTTGACGTTTTCCCCTGTGCCTCTTCTCCTTCCATAATGCATTGCCTTGTTGATCACAGTTTCATATTCTTTTACTGGTGGTCCACTACTGGAAATATGAATCTAATTTGCCATTGTCGATAAGAGTCCAGACAACGCTGCTCGCGTCAATATGTCACGCGATGCCTTTTTCAGCTCGTGCTCTGAAAAATACATTTCCTTTGACATTGGTATTGTGGTAAAAAAACAAATCGAAATGTGGTGCGCCTCATGAGTCCACAACATTCTGACCACTGTGATGACACGTATCGTTGTTAATAAGAGTACAGACCATGCTATACCACATTCTATTTGCATTTCTTTCCTCTTTCCTTAAGCTTTTTTTGGCATTTTAGGGCATTGCTCACTCAGCAATGACTACCTCGATTTCTTTGGCGCAGATGCCATTTTGGCACATGTGAAAGCCTGGGATCCAGTTCTGTAAAAAATGTTCCAGGCATTTCATGACCCATCGATCTACTGCTTCCATCGTATGTGAGAAAGAAAAACATATTTAATTGAAATACATCTTCACTTTGACTCAGACGTTTGAAACAGATATCATACAATATTTTTGCAGGATCTATTTTAAGTTTCTTGTCAAAAGTAATGGTAAAGTGAGGCAAAAGTAGGCGGCCAAAGATTGGCCAGTAGCCAGCTGCTCAAGCCAGCTACCAGCTTTCACTACCCCTACACTGACAAATGTCCTATGCAGACACATTATTTTTTTGGTTCCCACGGTGACTGTTTATGGGAGATTCACTGTTTTGATAATTTATTATTAGTACATGAACAGAGTCTTCTCTTTATTCCTGAGCATACCTTAACAGCTGATTTTTCTGCTCAATAGAACTCACATATCTTCTGAGTAGTTTTGCTTTCTCTTCACTGTAAAGAATAATATTATACTATTTTTTAAGCTAGGAAATAATGCCTGTTAATGGTACATGTAATCTTAATTCCAACAGATTATATATTTAGTATTTGACATCTGAGGTCTGTAACTGAGAAGAATATACAGCTGCTTAGAGAAAGGTTGTCCTACAAAAGTATAAACGCAGAGTTACAAGGTTTTACAGGTAGTGTCAATTTACCAATGATTGGTTGAAGTTCACATGTGTTTCTGTAAAACAGAAGGAAAGTCATGATTGTGTGCATTTGTGTTTTGTCCTTCCTTTGCTCTGAAACACAGCTACCACTTCCAGTAATACCTCTCAGCATTACCACATAAAACTTTATGCCTCAGCTTTTCTCAAAGAACTGTTACATGTATGTGCATATGTTTACTGTGAGACACAATATTCAATTAACAATCACAAAAGCACCCACAACTCTGGCACATAAAAAAATTAAAGATTAACCATGTTCCTTTTTTTGTATTCTTTTGCACAAATGTTTGACAAATACATGTATAGCTGAAGGAGAGTGGAGAGAAGAATCATTTCTGACCTGTACAGGGATGAATCAGTGTGAGCCTCCATAGGTATGAGTCTTTGGAAAATATCTGGCCCAGCCACACTTGGGTCACATGCCTGGAATGGAATGGGCTTGACAAGAGGTGCAGCTGTCAATACAAATAGTACAGTAACTTGCATAATCAGCTGAGAGCTAATCATATTAAGACAATATTGTGATAAATTTAAGCCAGAGTTCATATTGATTTACGTGTATGCTATAGTGCTAGTGTGCATCATCATGTTATGATAATTATACGTTGGACATTTAGACAGCAAGAAAGAAGTGTGAGAGTTTCTAGCTTCTTGAGCTTCTTAACTGGCTATGCTATAAATTTAGCCTGTTGGTCCAGAAAATAATTATTTCCTAGCTTGCACAATCAGACATCCCTCCTCGTATGCTCCATCCTTCCATTACTCAAGGAACATCCCTGATTTGACTGAAAACCTATGAAGTGCCTCTTCATGGTTACTGCACGCACAATTTAAGTAGCTTTTATCTTAATCTACATGTACTAAGCACTGAATTCAGTGGAAAAGCAGATGAATTGACAACAATTTCAATATATGTAGTTCCTTGAAAGTGCACTCACCTTTAATTTCTGGTAAGGTATCAAGTTCTGGTACAACTTCATGGTAAATAAAGTCATTGTCCTTAACTGCACCCTGTAACCTGTGAGTAGCAACAATAAATGTACATCAGAGACACACCTGAGGCTCTAAATTAATTTATGCCAACAAGTTAAGTCTGTCTGAAGGGAAAAGCTGAGTGGCAATAACACAATTGACATGTCCTTTAAGAACAGTGTATGTATCAGAGATTTTAAAAAACCTACAGCAGGCAGCTATTAGCACAGAACAGAACCGAAAAGAACTGACCACAGAGCAGCACTGCAATGAACAGACTAGCAGAGCAGAGTAGAGTTGAGTAGAGTAGAGTAGAGTAGAGTAGAGTTGAGCAGAGCAGAGCAGAGCAGAGCAGAGCAGAGCAGAGCAGAGCAGAGCAGAGCAGAGCAGAGCAGAGCAGAGCAGAGCAGAGCAGAGCAGAGCAGAGCAGAGCAGAGCAAAGCAGAGTAGAGTAGAGTAGAGTACAGCTGAGTAGAGCAGTGTCCAATTTTCCAGAAAACGTTTTTGAGACTCTTTTTGACGGCAATTTATTGAATAACATTCCTGCCCTTAGACCTACCACTGTATTTTACAGGAGTTTAGAAGGAGGCAGAAAGAGGAAGTTGCTTGGACAGTGTACTTACTTGTTACTCACAACATCAACAAGAAACTGTAACAACTCCAGAGTTTTTTCTGGTTGTCCCTTCAAAAGAATGAAAAATGCAATTCAAACTTTTTATACTAGTTTACCAGTCAGAGTAAATAATATAACAAGTACTGTGAACACAAATCTTCAAATAAATTTACATGTATGTTGCATTGTCAAATTTAAACTAGAAGAACTCATGAAAAAGCTCAAGCTTGGTTTCTATCAAATAAAGTCCATAAACAAAAGCATGTTTACTTAATAAACAATTTAAAAAGGGTATTAGACCTTTATTAATTAACTCTCAAGTACCAGTAGATATACCTGTACCAGTCTGCCAGTTTCAAAGTAGTAAGACATATTTGCGAGATTATTCAACAATCAATATTAACAATGAATGTTGAATAATACACACATGCATAGGCAATACAGTTATCATTACCTTGGATGCCTTCTGTGCCTCTGTTATCTTTTGGGATGCTGCTTTTAGATAAGTAACCTAAAATGAAGAAGTCAACAAATTAATGTTATTCTTCAGTCACATTCAACATCATTAACAAGTACCATGATGATCTTTCATGTTTAAAATTGTTGTTAACAATAAAATTTACGTTGTGATTAATTTTACATTCTAGTTCTATTTTTGGCACATTACAAAACATTTAGTTTTTAAACAACATCCAATAAGTGGCAAACCTGCATTAAGCTATCATTTGGCTATTTCCTGAGAGCGCAGGTTCACTGTAAGATTATTGTTACTCTTGTTGCTATCAATACTGTGTCATTGCAAGGAAGAGTTGTGGAATCTTACATCAGATAAACAATAATAATTATTATAAAATACAGTCTCTTGAGAATCACTGAGCACATTGTCAGTGAAAATTGTTACCTTTTCACCAAACTTCTGACTTTCATCTGCATTATTTGACATGTATATCTGTAGGGCAAGAGTTAAAAATTATTAAGAACATTATGTAGACTAGAAATTAATTAAAAATTAAAATAGAGCAAAATTTTGCCAAAAAACATTCAGACATTATCACATTCAAAGTTGTTACACCAAATTCTTTGATGAAAGAAAATGGTGTTGTGAACAGTATTTTTGGTTAGTTATTGAGTTTGGCATGGGCATTGTTCAGTCTCTTTTTCATCTTTTGTGTATTACATCATTTAGTTATTATCAAATCATCCACAACAGCAATAAACTACCAGAGCTCTTGTTATCATACATACATATGCAACAGCAAGATATTGACAGCACTTGATCTTTAAATTCTTCGTCCAAATCTATTGAAATAAATAGTGGTATTAGAAAGTGTGCTACTGCTGTATTTCTTTGTCTGGCACTCGGATTCGTCTACCACAAGTGCTTCCTTTCTATAGAACTACTTAATAACTGTTGTGGTTAATGTTGATCCTTAGCACCAAATTAAGCACTGAAATTCCACTTCTCAATTAACTGTTTTTGATATACATAGTACAAGTGTATTTGTCTTGGAAGTCTAATTAATTTACATGTCATGTACATGTACACAAGTATATGCATGGCACAATAAATGAAAGCCACTTGTCATAATGACTGTATTTTACAAATCCACTAAATAATATGAGATTGGTTTCCCAGTTGTTCTTTAGTTTATTTGCTGGTAAAACATGAGGGGTTGAGCAAAGCCTTCAACAGGAAAATGGAAACTTTGAGCTGAAAAATTAAAGATACATGATGTGTACATGTATGTAGTAGAAAGTATAAAAGGAAACTATCAGAAACCTAGAATTAATATGTCTCTCCCAGTTCACCTTAGTTTGTAGTGTCCAAATATAAAACAACAGGGATCCATATTGACATTAAGTTTTTTTCACCATGTTGTCAGCCAGGCAAGTATGCCACATGACATACTTGCCCTGTCCTTACTTGTCCTTACCACTTTTAAGTTGTCTCAGACGACTGAACAACTGCAAATATATGGATCCCCAACTCAATAAGACTACAGTACATGCACTCATTTTCTTTGAACAATAGTGAACTCAGCTGCTCCTTAATGACTGACTGCTTACAAGTAGTCTACACAGTTTTGTAAGCTATAACAAATACATGTACCTAAACTACACATGACTATTGTTAGTAACAGTAATCAGTGTTTCAGCCAGAAAATTTTACTTGAGGGCCAAATTGGCCCCTGAAGTTCATTTTTAGGGGCCAATTTTTTAGGAAAGGGGCCAATAAATTGAAAGCTACAGAAGGAAAAAATGCATCAGGGTATCAAGAAAAATAAAGCAGCTTATTAGGATCTATGATAAAATTTAATAGTAAGTGCTTTTTGAAGCGTTTCTACTCTATAAAGTTTCTTTCGAATCAGATACCAGTATGAAGGATCCGTGCATTACAAGAGCACAATCTTTAGGCGTACATGACGTAGTCAATGATCAAGGGTTTACAATGCATTATAGGGCATTTTTTAACACGGTCAGCCATTTGGAAGTTTTCCGATGTGAGAGAATCAATACAGCAAACAGCACAGCAAAGCAAAAGGACGGATTGGCTTCTTTTCTTATGTTGAGTGTTTTAGAATGTTCAATGTTCAATGTTTTCAATATGATTTTCTAGAAGGACATTATGTGTGACAAAATAATCGTTGTTGATCGTCAACACAGAGAAATGTAGTCGCCATTATGGGGACTAAACCTGAATTTTTGGTCTCCAAGGATGAAATGTTAGTTGCATTGGCAACTGATACGGTCGCAATTTCGAGCCCTGGGATGGTTTTTAAAATACTATACCTGTGTTAAGCCTGCAGCCTTGTAAAAAGAAAGGGCCAAATTGGCCCTTTTTCGTTTTTCTGGGGGCCATTTCTGATTCCAACGCAGGATTCCCACAATGGCACAGTCTGGCGGAAACACTGGTAATAATATTGCACCAGGATAGAGTTGCTGGACCCACAAAAGGTCCTCCCAAAAATCTCTATAAAATGTATGTACCTTGGCTTTCCTTGAACCCATAAATGATGGGCCTTGAGTATCCAAAAACTGCAGAGCCTGTCTATAATAATCATGTACCTGCACGGAAAAGAAAAGAAAATCAAGGTGAAGGGAAAATCTTGTGTAAAGTTCCTGTTTCTTACAGTTTTAAGAAGAGATATTCATTTTCTACACAGTCCACTGTTTTCTGGCAGACCTCTTGATCTTTGGTCATCACATTGGGTGCTGATTAGACAAAAGTACCTGATATAGTACATGTACCTGCATACTTATTCTTGCTATGAGTGAATCCTTGCGTGAATCTAAAATTGACTTCTCCAATAAACACTCCTGAGCTTGACCCTACAAAACATGAAAGATATGCAGATTGAACAATGAAAATACAAACTTGTAAGACAATAAATTAAGGCATTAACTAATAGCCTTATAGTCAAATTTCTAACTTAACTTGAAACAAATCTGTAAATAAATGCTCTTCAGGTATTTTTTATGGGGACAACAAACCACTGAATACGCACAGCTCAAAATTAAGTACATGTAGTAAACCACCTTCTCCTGAGAAATTAGATTATTGCAAAGTGAGATAAGATTCTCCATCACTTTCAATTCATTCACACATACCATGCAAATTCAATGTGCAGATTATGATGTTATGAATAAAAATTCGTAAATTGTTGCAAAAAAGTCAGTAAACCAACACCAGAATCTTTGAACTGTACAACTTTACATTCTAGATGCCAACCTGAGACAAACAGGTCATGAGATATTGTTTCCTTGCAAGACAGTCAGTTAAACAATGATTTACTAATTCAGTGAGTGAAATCTTCTGTTGCTCAAGATACAATATTTGTATCTTGAGACATGATCCACATACAGTCATCAAAAAAGGAGAGACAAAAAGAGTGTTTGGCAATTCACTTGGCAGTACTGTGCATGGTACATGTGCATGCAAAAGTACCATCAAAGATGGCTTATCCCCTAAATAAATGTACACCAAAATCAAGAGTGAAGTAATATTTACAACCAAGTAATAATTGCTTACCAACATCACATTGGTGTACAATTGAAGTAAACCACCAGCCATGTCAAAAAATGCATCACTAGCAAAATTATCCTGGAAATAAAATGGCATTCAATTAACAGTACACATGTAGGTTGGTCAATAAAAACATTCTGATCTTAATGAGGATAACAAACAATCAAAAAGCCACAAGATAAAAGAAATGCTTGTTATAAACAGCTTAGACTTACAATAAAATGTTCAACTTTACAGAAAGAGCCAACCTACAAATTAAACAATAAATTGGCTTCAGGAAATGTTTTATGATTGACCTCTTAAAAGTACACTCAAGTGGTACTAAGAAGAAATTCTGCATTCATTACTTACTACTAACTATTTCCAGTCAGAAAATTTACTAGGCCATGATTAAAATAGAACATAAACATTAAAATAATAGTCATAACAATCAACGATGAATCATCAGCTATTTTCCCTTGCTAGAATCAGTGTAAAGATATGGAACAGTATCCCCATAGAACTCCGTGAGTTGAGGAAGACACCCGTCAAACAAGAAGTGAGTAAAGAATTCTTGCAAATTCTCGAAAACGAGGTGTAAATGTTGATATGCGCTATAGAAATCTCTCACTCCTTAATTAGTAATCACTTTTTAATTAGGTATTTAATTAATACTCGCTCTTTAATTAGTATTAGTAAAGGTCCTTTTCCCATTTCTTTCTTGATTATTACCATTAACTCACTCTACTGAACTGTGTCAACCATGTTTCGCTAATTAATTTCTATGTCATATGTTTAATTTTGTTTATGTTCTCAAATTTCTTTAATTTCCCTTTTTTTTCTCTTATTCTCTTTTTTAATTTAAGTAGATAATACTCTTAAAGTTAGCTGTAATGGTAGCTTGCCAAGGATGGCTTTGATAGCGGTGAGCTACTGAGGCTTATAAACCTATTATATACCCAGCAATAAAAGCTACTTAGTAATGCTTGAAGATGAGTAAGTCCATTTAGAAAGACCTTAGGACGTCCATACTGCTATATAGTCTGTAGCCAATGTTAAGCCACAAGTGACACTTGGGTAATTTCCCGAACTTCCTAGCGTGCATTCCCAAAAACACGTGTGTTTTGCAAAAACATGATGCGAACGTCAGATTTAGAGCAGTCAAAGTTGTCTTGCTAGTTTTGTTCTGAAATGGAGCACTTTCCTTAGATTCCTTTAGATTTCGACCAGTCACTGGACAAAGGTAATTTGTAGCTCAATTTCATTCTGTTTTTATTGTGCCTTCATAAGATTTGCATGTATTTCATCAAAACAAGCCGACTCTCAAACAGTTCATTTTCTCATCGATTTCTTTGTCATGTATTACTTCCTAGTTTTACACTTCTTTCTGTAACCTGCTGAGGATATTAAAAGGAAGTTGTAATTCTGCCAGCATTGTGATACTGAATTGCTTGGATCGCATTTGGACCTATTTATTGTGTGAAAGGTCACCAGTAACAAAGTTTTATGGCTTCAACTCCCCCTAAGGGCAAACTACATGTAATCCTTGTCAAGAACTCATTTGTCTTCACAGCCCGCAGGTCAAGACTCCATGAGCTTTGAGATAGCACTGCCTTTTTCTGTTTTTACATGGGGTCCTGGACTCTTTTACAGATTATCCCTTTTTCTTTTTCTTTTTTTTTTATTTATTTCATACTTAATTTTTTTATTTAATTTTTTTAATTTTTGGGGGGAATTTGTTATTCTGTGTTTACATGTAATTATTTTAGAACCATGAATTGTAATTACATGTAGTTACTAAACTATGCCTTAATGTGCATGAAATAGATGTGAATGACAGTAAAATTTTTAAGTAAAGAATAGCCGATAAAATATCATAACAGCCAAATATACAGAAAACCCTATACCTTGAGGTGCTGAAAAATACCAGCTGCAGCTTGGAAATGAGTGCAGGCCACCTTCATTCCCTGCAAAGCAATAACTTGTGATGAGGACATAATCCCTGCTATATCTTATTAACCAAGTGTTAGGACGATTTTTACTGTTGCTGTTACTGGCCAGCCCTCTGAACTAACTTGATAATGTCCTAATAAACAAATTTTAATATTAAATAATAGTTACAGTGCTATAGGTCATATTTACTATACAGAGAACAGTTTTTTAAAGTTTTTTTAATGACATTTTTAATGATTTTTCTATAAAATTGTTGTATTAATAATCAATATCTGGTAACATTGTACCTTGCAACATTTTCAATGCAAATGTTTGTTGCAGAAGCACATGGTGGGTATTCTAACTTCCTTCAAAACACATGCAACACCATCTTTTTAATTTTTTTTATGTTGCATTAAAAGTTCCTGGCTGTATACGGTATATACTTATTAAAAATAATTGCACACATTTGAAGTTGCTACTTTCTTGACATTGTTACATTCAGAAGGTTGCAACCTTTATGATCTGCTAACAAACATGTAACTTTATAGCTTCTTTCAGGGGTTCACTGCTTTTGAGTGGTCAATTTGGCCACATGTCATTGAATAACCACTCTGATAAAAACTACTGTACTGTAACAATATTTACATTTTACATGCAAACAATTTACCTCTTCTGCTGTTCTGTCTTCTTGACAACCAAGCTGGGAGTGCAGGGCAGCTGGAAAGAAAGGTCGTCTGCAGTTTACTTTCAATTATGAGAAATAACATAATTGTTGGTCATTTAAATGTTATTTCAATTTTTGATGAATTGCTCTTCACACTGTGTGGTTACAGGCTTAAAATTAATGTACTGATCATAGGAAACAATCACAGGATTTATGATGACCTACATACTGTAAACACCAATTTGACTCACCTAAATTATGAAGTATTGCTCCTTGTTCAAATTTTATGTCACATAATGATATTGGTTCTTCAGAATAGAGATCAGTCCTTTAGGAACAAGAAAAAACTTTCAACATGTAGCAGTGAATGCAATTAAATCCGCAAGTGTATGTGAATGCAAAGTTTAGTTATAGATAGCTACAGGTGTGGTTTAAACAAAATCTAGTTACTTTTTGTTTAAAATTTTTTAAAATGGTTTCCTTGTTTTTTTTTTCTTACTTTTGCTACCATTATGATAATGATAAACAAAGACAAATAAAAATAAAACTGTCCTGAAAATATTTTTAATACAGTAACAAATTATTTAAACCACAACTCTTGGTATTTAGGATTACACGATAAGTCAAATAATTATCACTATTATTGTTGCATTTTGATTGGCTCTTACTTATGGTCAATTGAAAGACAGACACAGGCACATTTTTTTGTTTTCTATTAAGTAAAACAAATGTAACCCATTTTGCCATGCATCTGTTCAGTAAGTGATGACAAGACATCAAAAAAGGTAAGAATATTAGTGACATACTTGGCTATCACCTTGTGTGCCACCTTTTTGTTCTTACCAAATTTTAATGTCTTCTGTGATCAGCAATTATTACTGAACAGATCATTAAATTGACCAAAAGCCCAGGGTCAAACAGTTGTATATCCTACAACTACTGATAGAAACAGACTTTCTGAACTGAACAAATACTTGTTTCCTTGAAATGTACAGCAGATATAATTATATACTGGAACAAGTGATGCCAACTAGCTATCAAGGTATCTCTGTGCCCATACAGGTGGCACCTACTGTAAATCTGATCTGCATGTAAATTACTTTTTATCAATAGTGATAGACTTGTACTTGGTAGAAAACATCTAGACATACCATGTGAACTGCACGCTGACTGCTCCTCCCTCACCCAATGGGAACCTTGACTGAAGGAATTGTAGTTGAGCATAGTATCGCCGAAGAGTGCTGCACCCAGAGTGATCATGTGATGGGCGCTGAGAAGCCTGTCCGAGTTCCAAAAAAAGTTATTCAATAATACAGATACCAGCAAGAACAATTTTAATACAGTTGAACCCTGCTAATTCAAACTCTCAGGGGAAATTAAAAAATAGCTTGAAATAGCAGGAGGTCAAAATAACCCGTTGTAAATGACTGAAGGGTAAATCCAGGGGAAATGGTTTGAGCTTAAAATTATAACAGGGAATCCAAAATAGCCATGTTCAAATTAGTGGGGTCAATTTGTATTTATATGGTAACTCCATAATTTACAAAATGAAACTTTGCAGATGCTTTGACAGCAACAGAGCATACTAGATAGTCTTCACTGTTTTATATGCAGAGTATGGTCAATTAAAAAATACAGCATTGTCAGATTGTCAAGCTTAAGCAACAAGACAAAGAGGCACAGAATGATGTAGTATGGGTTGAAAAAAGAAAGCCATGGAATGTCCTAAATAATTAATTGTATGTTTTCTTTTCTTTCAAACAAGAGAGATACAAACTAGTGGATGAGGATTTCATATACACTAATGCACATACCAATTAATCGCCAGACTACTTACAGTCTTGTCAACAGGGCTTAACACTTTCATTCAAAAATGCTATTGAAATACTTCTATCCCAAAAGCATATGCTTTCAACCACATGTAGATTTTACATTGTAAACAGAGTTAACTATGCATACTCTGAAAAATCATCATGAGTCACTCTGTTATAGCTGCTTCAGTTTCAGCCATTTATTAAATTCTCTGATGCTATTAAACTGGAGTTACAGAGAACTAATATTTTATTTACAGGTATAATTGCCAACAAATTGAAAATTAGGGCTCATCAGTAATTTTCAACCCTACCAAACTTTGTCAAGCTTTGCCAATATGCTTCAAAAGTGCTGTTATCCAGCCTCAAGAAGGCCAAATTTTGGTCAAACATCAAAACTGGCCACTTGTAAGATCTGTCTGTTAATTTTAAGGAAAATGTTGATTGAGTTGTTTTGCCACAAACAGAAGCTGTTTAATTGAATGTATGTGGACATAAATTTTTTCAGCTAGCAATTTATTTGTTGAACTTCAAGTACAGACACCTTCACCAAAAGGAATATTTTGGAGAGACAAGTTTTGGCTTGATTTCTGATAGGTCCACACAAATTTTGTCAGCCCAGTGCAAATGAACCCTTACACAAGATAAATGTTCAGCACTTCACAAGCATGGGACAAAGGAAAATCTGAGTCCCTGATATGACCTCACTGAGCCATGGAGATTCATGCTGAGCTAGGCCATCTACTGCGTTCAGATACAGCATGTGACATGCATCCTACATAGTGCTACATGTAGGATCCAATCAGCAAATTATATTGAACATTTTCTGTTTGGAGATACATGTATATATTAATGAAACATGGCTATTTTTAAGCTTGGTGTATAATGTGAAAAATGAATTGTTCAATATGTTGTGAACAAGCATGCAACAAACAAAAAAATTTTTAGCCTGTCACAATACAAGGGGACCACTTGGAACAGAAACAGGAAAAAACAGTCAGGTAGAAGTAGTTTGCATCTAGATCACATGCATTTTATTTGTGTGACAAGGATTTCATTGAGGAGGTATCAATAATATTTCGATCAAATACTTCATGGGAAATGAAATGGCAGGTATATTTTGCAGGG